GTACATCGCGAACGAGAGGCACAGGTCCTTGCGCTGGTTGCCAGGGTCTGCTGTGCTTGCGCCTCCCAACAATCTGCTCTTGCTGGTGTCACGCCATAGCTTCTCCACGGTGACCAGGTGATCCTTGTGGGCGCCATCTGGATCCAACTGAATCTTGTAGCTCCTGTCGGACTCGATTATTATTCTCTCCCTTCTGAAGCAAGAAGATAGTCTTCTTCTTCCCTCCCGCCGGCCCTCTTGTACTTCCTTGAGCACCCGGTGCTCCCCATGCACCAGGTACTTGCACCCTGCCATTGCTGATACCTCCTGCTCATCATCAGAACCACCAGCTGCAGCAGCAACAGCAGGGAGATCGTCCTCATAGCTCATGTAGTCGCTCACCAGCCTCATGCTCTCTTGGTTTTCAGTCTCCCCTTTACTTGAGGTGATGAAGAGCACGATGATTCGAACTGCATTAAGCGACCAGATCAGCCAGAGGGTGATCCTGAGGAGCTCGAAGGTCTGCACCCGGAGGAGATTGGCTGACCAGAAGGAGGACATGAAGGATCAACGCATATGTTTCTGTTTGATCCCGTGGTGCGTGCTTTGCTTTACTCCGAGATGCCTCCGCTCCCTTAACGGAGCCTGCGAGGTGGGGTCCTGTCAAAAGTGCGCATTCTGAGGGCGGGCCATGGGTCCTCCGCCTCGCGCTTTTCTTCTTTTTCTTTTCATTCCTTTTATGTGTCAGTTTGTGGTCGCTGGCTATGAACCTTTCTTTTGCACCGCTGTTAGAGCATCTCTAGCCGTTAGCCCCACGGTCTCGAAAAATTACCGTCTGAAGGCGAGCGGTTTCTCAGCCGCCGCCTCTAGTCGCCTTTTTAAATATTTTTGAAAATAAATTCGGCTAAAATTCGGCAAACATTACAAAGATTCGGCAGACAGGACATAAATTACGGTGTTCTACTTTTTTTACATAGAAAATTAAAATTACTAAATAAAAAACTCGCTAAGCGCGGCGTAGTCGCCGTCCCCTCCGTCGTCCTTCTCCTTCTTCACGACGCTGTTGAACCCCTGCCCGGGGTCGCCCAGGCGGACAGGTTTGGCCAGTGGCGGCGCGTCGTCGTCGCTTTCTTAAAACACGATGACGGCCCCTTCCTTGCGCCCGCGGCGATCTTTGCCAGGGCGCGGCGCTGGCGCTCCATCTTCAGCCATGCCCAGTCTTTCCGCGCCCACATCATGGCCGCCTCGTCATCGAGCTCCGGCTCTGTCTTCATGGCGGCGAGACCTGGCTCCGTCTTCATAGCGGCGAGCCCCGGCTCCGTTTTCGTCTTGACGAAGCGGAGAGTGGCCGATGAGGAGGCACGCCCGCCCTCGTTGATGACGACGCCAGCGCTGCGGGTGCACCGGCCAAACGACGTTTCCGCGGGCTCGCCCTTGACGCTGAAGAGCGCTGGCGAGCCGGAGGAGTGGGAGGAGGAAGAGGAGCCGGTCCTCCTCGGCATCCATTGGCCGGCACTCCGGCGGGAACCGGGGCGGCCGGGTACATCAGCGGAGGCTCGTTGCCGTCCTCGAGGTGCTCGAGGACGACGTGCAGTGTGCGGCCAGGGGCGCCCCACCATAGGCGGCGGCCGTCGCTGGTTTTGGTCCCCCGCACCATCGGCGCATTGTTGGTGGAGGCCACCCGCTCCGCCTGCCGGCGTTCGAAATACGCCGCCCACACCACGCGGTTGCTGGCGTCGCACTCCGGGAGGGCTCACTGCTCCTCCGTCAGTGACGCACGTGCACGCTCGATCTCGGCGCGGAAGTAGTCGGGGCGCGTGACGTCGGGCAGCGGGGGACGGGGATGCCCCCGGCGCTGAGCCTCCACCGCCCCGGCGCGCGCATGTCAGGAGGTGTCGGGTAGTTGGCTTCGTGCAGGAGATGTGCTTCCCACTCGTGCAGAGAGCAGCGGCCGAAGCCATTTGCAGCCGCCCCATCGCCGGGGAACCTTTCGCCCATCGTCTGCAGTGGTTGTGAACGGGGAGGAAGAGGAAAGAGAGGGCTCGTCAGGGGTGGCTGTGCATGGGGAGAGAGGGGCTGCAGGCGGGTGTGTCCACCGGCGAGGGAGGCGCTGCTTTATACAGCGGCCAGGGGTGTGGTGCCGTGTGTACGTATGGCGGGGAGGGGGCACGTCGCCGCACAGCGCCGCCTGTGAGGAATCAATGGAAAGCTGACCCACGACAGCCTTGGCATTGATTTCCTGCAGGAAACCGAGGCGATGTGAGGACGACGAGGCGCGGGTCGCTGACCCGGCGGGCCCGCTGTTCTTTCGTGCCAAAACGATCGCCCCGGCGCCCCCCAGCGTGCCGGGTTTGGCCTGGATCCGCCGGCGCCAGTTTCGGCCCTAACCGGCGAAAACTGGGTTCCTGGGACACGACTGGGTCGTTTTTTGGATGCTGGCGCCGAAAAAGAGGCATGAAGGGGCCTGTTGAGGGCGCGGCTGGAGATGCCCTTATCTCTCAGGCATTGGGATTATTAGTACTAAAATGACCCTTGGAGAAGCTTAATTCGGTCACTAACTCCTAAGAAACTTATTGCGGAATCAGGCACCCATTTGCGCCTAACCTTTAAGCGTCTAACTTAGACGCCCTCAGACACTCTCAATACATTCGGGTGAACGGCTGAATCACTGCATGGTAACTTTTTCACCAAGCATCCACCTGACCTCAAATCAGTCCGGCCTATACGTCCGGTTTAACCGGCAATCCCCGTACCAAACCACATCTGTGCTGGTGCCCGGACGCGTAGGCCATGTCGGATCCAATAGGCCGGACCCATCCCAAACCCACTCCAAATTGATCAAGTCCACCAAACTGGCCGCCCTCCTCTAGCATTCATCCTCCATTTCCCGCACCCGAGCCATCCCCCTCCTCCACCTTAATTTGCTCCCTTTCTATGCCTCCACACGTGCCCGCCGTCAAGGGCAGACCGCCACGCTCTGTCGAAGGCTTCCTGTTGCGAGAAGAGACGCGAAGATGAAGACCCGCCGATCGCCGTCCGCCGCGCAGAACTTTACCCGTCGGCTACAGGTGGTTAGAAGGGGGAAGAGGCGGTGACGGCGACTAGGGTTTCAGCCGACCCGCCCCCTTGAAGCAGAGCAAGCATGCCTTCGTGAAAGTTCTGCTCATCTACAGTCTCCATTGAATTTCCTATTTTACTATGCTTTCATGTACTCTCATTCAGCAACTTTATCAATCTATGATGGCTACTATACCATCCCAAATTCCCAGTGTACGTTCACTAAGACTTTTCAGACAAATCATTTGTCCAATCTCAAAGCTTACACACATTATCTTACATGCTGGATGACGGAGGAGGTCGATCTGGTGGTCTAGTCGGGGATGGGCGTGAATTCGCCAGCCAAAGCTCGATTCGGCCTTGGCCAGAATTGCCAACGGCGGCGACCATGGGCGTGGTTAATTACCTTGTTGGAGGCCTTGTGGGGCGATTCACATTCCCTATGTGCCCCGTGGGAAACCCTAAATTCAGGCTTTCCAGATCGGATGACGGCGAGGTTTCTGCGTCGTCACCCTATGGGGGCATCATCTTTGGGGTTGTACATCGGCTGGAGGGAGGCTTGGTGGCTCGGCCTAAGTCTTCGTATGCTTCTTGTGTGGTGACCAAGGTGGAGCGGTGTGCCATCTACAGTATCAACGACAGCGAGACTTGGCGGCAAGGTGTAGCGGGATCACGGCGTTGGATACTGTTTGATGGGCGCGCCCAGGAGGCTGGCGCTGTCCGGCTTCGTGGTGGCGTCGAGTGGCAGAAGGGTCTAGCAAGATCAGTGCATTGATTGCTCCTAAAGATGGGACTGCGAAAGAAGGCGACGATGAATTCTATAGTGTGCGCATGTGGTGCACACCAAGGGTCTGCAAGACTGGTTGATGCTCCTAGCTAGCCGGCGGGGCGGCTTTGTGAGGCCACCGGATTTCTTGGTGTGTGGGCTTGATGTCCGGGCACGTCACTAATTTTGTAGGTAGGGTGACAATTTTCACAAGGAATATGACTTTAGGTTGATCTATGTATTTATATTGTATGGCCTTGTTGAAAAACAATTGAATAAAGATGGTTGTGTGCTTCGCTCCATGCAAAGACCGGAGTAATCCTCTTTTTTGGAAAAACAAAATGATGATGTACCGACGTGCAACGGTGGATGCCTTGTCAGACACGCATGCTCGGATCTTCTCAGTCCCACAAGGCCACAAGCCCACAAAGTATATATTGCCTATCGAGGTGGATGCGGCAGGGCAGAAGCAGATGCTGCCGTGTCCAGAGCCGTTACTCCATGGATACCCAGTTATCATAGATCTCACCTTTCGGGTGTCGTCTCTCCATTTGAAGAAGCGAGGCTGGTCTGGATCGCCCTTGAGCAGCTACTGCGCCCAGGTACCGACAATGCAGGCTGCTTACTCTTTCATACATAGTTATAAACAAACAAGTTCTTGAGCATCAACTTTGCGTTACAACACCATTTGCAAACTTCAGTTTATTTCCTCAAATATAAGAGATAGAATCATCAGCTTCTATCTAAAAAAAGCGCAGGTACAGTTCCTATATACAGGATGCACAAATTGGCTTAGCTGAAATATTGTGTATATATGTCTTTATAGAATTATTATTAAGCTTGCAATAGAAGCACAAAGACATAGTAAACCTCTGCTGAACTAGGAATTTTTTCCGTTTTATCACATTGCAAGGAAACAACCAGAGGAATTATATTGAAGTCCACAATTCCTCGGCTATTATAATCAATTATATGAAATCAGCAGCAACATAGAAACAGCATGCCTCCATTTTGTTCTTAATTTAGAGTTCACAAAAAGTTCAGGTGGAGGGTTAAGACTTAAGCGCCTCATCGATCTGTTCAAGTTTTTGTGAACTGTGACTATTAGTTGTGATGATTTTCTTGAGAAAAGGGGTGTTGTTTTTAATTAATTTGATTTAGAAACAACCATGACATGCAGGCGCCGTGAGCCAAGAGAATGGTGAGCTACGATGATGTCCGTGATCATGTGGCATCTCTGTTCATCATGCTGAACAAGAAAACTGTTATCTTGTTTCGCATCGAGTTCCTGGTGGTCCTCGCCACACTGCTCTTCTTCGCCATGTTCCTCATGGATTTCTTTCGCCGCATGATCCACAACTCGTTCATGAGGGCCGTCTTCAGCGTCTTCGACGCCGTCTCCGACTCCATTGTCCTGTACCTCCTGGGGGCCATGCAAACGGCGCCTTTCAAGAATCAGCTCTTCCCGGTGTGGGCTCTTATGCTTGTCAATTTCCGTTACAGTGCAGATTACATCTCTGGGTATGGTGTTCCTGACCGCAGGGGGCGAAGGTTCACTGAGTGGAGGAACGTGTTCAAGCTCTTGGGATCGGCGTTCCTGAATTGGACGCGTGGATCCAGATTCACAGGTCCACTATGGTCCGTCTGGTGTCTGCAGATAGTGAGGAGTGCCTACAGATTCTTCTCACATAAACTGGCACTCGGCTCCTTCTGGCATGGCCGGAGTTCGCAGCTTGTTGCAGAACACATGCGTGCCAGATATGATGATAGTACGAGCAACTCGCGAGTAGTGCCTGACCCAGTGACGATGGAAGGCTACAACTACTTGGTGTATGGAGAAGAAAGTCATGGTTTCCAACTAAAGAAGCCTATGTATGCATTTTCTGCCGACACTAGTGCCCGTCTGCCCGGATGGTTCAGCCTAGCTAGATGTCGTTGCTGTGCTGCAAGAGAAGATACTTACAGCAGCACCAGGTCGCCAACACTGGTCACGCTGGACAAGGTCTGGCTATGTTTTGGCGATACACCTACCCAGAAGACCGACCTAAAGGATCTCCCTCTGGCCTTCGCCTTGTCCAGGCTGCTGCGGTGCCGGCTTGAGGATGTGACACTGCATCCATGTATCTTTAAAGTAAACCGAGAGCTGGTCAAGAGCATAATTGGTGGGAAGGTGGGTGCCAGCGATGCCCTCAGGATCATAGAGCTGCAGCTTGCCTTCGTCCACGACTATTTCAACACCCGCCACCCCATGGTGTTCTGGTCTGGGCTGCTATCTCTCTTCGTCACCCTGTTTCTGTCCATGCTGACCATTGCTGCTGTCTGCTGGCTCGCTATGGATATCCGTAGGGTCTATAAGCCCCCAAACGGCGAGCTTGCTAATATGGTGAAGGGTTTTAATATCGACATGATCATCACATGGGCATTCATTTTATTGATGATTGCCAAGGAGGTTTGGGAGATGGTGACATACTTACTCTCGGACTGGACACGCTTAATCCTGGCGCGTGAGTATGTGCAGATGAGGTGGCAGAGGAACAAGTTTACATGTCTGTATCAGATGCTATTTTCGATTTCCAGACGTAAAATTACTGATAAGAGGTGGCATGGTTTCATTGACCAGTATTTCTTCATGCAGTCGTATGATGACAGACCAAGACTTTGGAATTTTGTTCACAACCTAACTACAGGAATAATTCCAAAGAAAGATGATGGGGCAAAGCTCAACTGTGCCATCAAAGTTCCAGAGTTTGTCAAGAAGGCAGTTCTAGAGAAGCTCAGCACAATTGTAGAGGAAGAACAAGGTTGTAGTCTGCCTAGGGTCATCAAGACATTGTCCAACAGTAACCTTAGGAAGCAGTTGCAGAACTACAAGGCTTACAGTGCACGACCGACGAGCACCCAGATCCTCCTGCCAACAAGCTCTCACACCATTCTCATGTGGCACATTGCCACCAGCCTCTGCGAGATGGAGCTTGCGACAAAACACGGCGTCAACTTGAGCAACCCTGGGTTTCCGTGTTCCCTCTTGTCTTGGTTGACTTCTTGCTGCTCATCCAAACCGTATCTTATGGATTTGGGTGAGAAGGAAGATGACATCTTGTCATGGTTAACAAACTGCTGCTCATCCAAGTCAAGTGAGAATTTGCCTGATGAGCTCCGGGAATCATACACCGTTGCGAATAGCTTATCGCGGTACTGTGCATATCTGGTGGTTGCAAAGCCAGACCTGATCCCTGACAGCTTTCTTGTTCCCAAGATAGTCTTCCAAAAAACTGTCCAGAGTGCTCGTGATCGCTTTCTGAAAAACTGTGATTCATTAGAGAGCAGGCACAGAAAACTGAAAAACAAAGCAGAAAAACCTGTCAAAGACTCTGAAAAGGAAGATGTATTGAAACAAGGTGCCGTGCTGGGTAAGGAACTGCTCAATCTTCCAACTGATGAAGCTCGCTGGAAGATCCTGGCAGGGGTATGGACAGAGTTACTTATACACATTGCGCCCACGTGGAATGCACAGGCACATAGGAAGTGTCTTTCTGGAGGGGAGTTCATAACCCACGTCTGGGCATTGCTTTGGCACTATGGCATCCAGAATAGTAACCTGTGGCCAAATGAAGTTGCGATAGGAAGCAATGCTCCTGCAGCGCCTCAGAATAATGGTGTGGGAAGTGAAAACAATATGAACGAGACAGGGAAAGCTTGTGCAGACATAAGCAACAACCAGATTGAAATTAATGTTCATGGACGGGATGAGATCAAGGGAGCCAGAGAGCATGAGACACGAAACTCAAGGAGAGGACCAAGAAGAATGGAGGAAACAGAGAGTATAGAAATCGAGGAGGGGAATCAGGATGCGATAGTGGAGGACACAAAATTTCAGAGAGGAATGGCTGGCTGGCCAAACACAAAACAAGAGTGAAGCAAAGAAGGTTGAAGACATAGTTCCAGAGCAGCACAACATGACCTGAAGGGCGTATATGAATTATGCGATCATAAGTACTGCAACAAGATCGCAAGCCTGCACAGAGGATCTGTTGATCTTCTATCTGGGGACCTGATTTGTTCATATGGATGTTATTGTTTATTTCTTTTATTTTCACTATTTTTGATTTGTTTGTGATATCCTTTATTGGACTCTCACCTCATATTTACTATTTGGGGACTTGATTTGTTTATATGATATGGAGTCTGCAGTGCAGTCGTTTTACTTTATTATCCCTCCAGCTAAGGGTTAAAGTGCGTGGTTAGGATAATTACCGCCCATAACCGTTTTCTATTTGGGTACGGTTAGAGAATTTTGAGATCCAGATCCGAGTTTGATTGATAGGACATGGTATTACTAATGTACAGCGCAATAGGATAATCTTTTATTTTCTAGTCGGATAATCCGGCATTTTAATTATGGATATCCGATTTACGGGTGAAATTTGAAGTACTAACTAGCATTCCTTGAATGCTATTTTTGCTTATGAGATGAAACATATGCTTGTTATAGATTTATTTGGCTTAGTCTAATACCTTCTAACGCTTTATGTGTTCTTAAAATATATAAGCATAATATTTGCTCATTGTGTATGTCTAATTTTAGTTTAAAGCATTTATATATTTCTCATTCCTCCTCTAGTTTCCAATGTTAGTCTGTTCTAAGGATTTGTGGTCGGAGGTGGAGTGCTTGCAGTGGGCGACACCTCCCTTTGGGCGCTTAATTAGCTGTCGTTTGTTTCAGTTTATTGTGCATGTCTCACTCTGTTCTTCAGTTCAGGTGGTGCTCTGTCAAATCTGAGTTATTCTATTGATATTGCCATCTTGACTTGGAATGCACGGGGGTTAAACGACCCACACAAGAGGAGGGTCGTTGCTAGCTTTCTGTCTGACTCTGACAAGGGTTGCAACATAATTTGCTTACAAGAAACCAAGCTTGCTGTCATTACTAAGCAGATTGTGGTCGAGATCTTGGGTCCTAAGTTTGGGGACAACTACATTCAGGCGTACCGCAGCCCCTACGGCGGCATCCATATGGCCAGATGTAGCGGTGGATGAATTGGAAATAACAACTTACATCTGTTCCTGAATTAACAAAACATTTCCCTGAACATGTCTTGCATGATAGATGAAATCTAAGACGCATCTGCCTGAACTGAACCATCAACGTACTCTGTATGCCTCCCTTTAACGGAAAGTTCACAGCAGCAAGAGCACTTATGAAGAAGTGAGGCCAGATCAAGGAATACACAGACATGAACGAGCTTTACACAGAACATTAATGGATTTGATACAAACCAATTAAATGCTACAGTACAAACTACTACTCATTGATTGAGAAACCAAGAAGCAGGTAAGGATGGATGAGCGTGCATACCTGAAACCTGATGCCGAGATTAGCCGGTGCTCTTCGACGCCAGATCCGCGGCTTCCTCCGGCCATGGACGCACGGCCCGTCTACCGGTCAGCACCGGTGGTCCTGACCAGAATCGTCGGCGAGGAGGCGGAAGCGGCGGCGCTCTTGCGCCCGAGCCGAGGAACTGGGCTGAAGTCCGCGCTTTGTACACGTTAATGAGGTTGGGCCCAAGCAAAGAAGCCCAGCCACAAGGAGTAGGCCGGTACAGTAGGCCCAAGTTAAGTAAGGCGAAGAAAACCTGAAGAAAAAAGGGTAAGGCGAAGGAAGAAGCCAGCAGAGACCAGACCAACCCCTCAAAAAAAAAAACAGAGAATAGACCAGAACAGTCCGGGAACTCGGAGGCGAAGGCGACGCGAGGGACGCCGGGGACGTCGCCGCCGGCGTTTGACAGCCGGCGCATGACCGTCGGCGCCAATCTCCACCCCCGATCTTTTGCAAGGCGTGTGCTCTCCCCCCTCCACTCTCGCCCAAACCCTATATAGCTTCAATATATTTTCTTTCACCTGCAAAAAAAAAAATAGCGGTCCGTGCATTTTTCTCTTTTTTGGCAGGGTTAGAATTCACGCAAGTGCAAGATATCTAGATGGATGTCATGCCAGGGTCTCTGTTTTCCTTAGCAGAAAATAGATTGTTTCGTGTACAATGTGCCCCGCGAAACAAATGGAGCATGCATAAATATTTCCATGCACTGAGAGTTCTCGTATTTATGGGACATCCACTATACCAAAGCGACTGCATGTTTTCTGCTAATTTTCAGCTGTGTGCTGCATAAGAATGGTGACGGGTGCAGCCCATCATGGTTCCTTGGTGCTTTGTGGGCGTTCTTGTTTTTTGCTTCGTAGTTGTATTCCCAACTATTGCCCCCAAAGAAATTTGAGGCTTCCCACCTGAATCCTGTAACAATAATCACCAAAAGAACCCAAACAGGGTTATGTACGTATTTGACAAGTTCATCTCGTGTGAATCTCTACTTGGTTGCACGTTTCAGTACAATGGTGACCAACCACCAAAACTGTCGCATGTCGGTGCTATTTGGAATGGAAAATCAGAATTGCTTTGCACATCAATTTTACTTTGGTCAGGAATCTGAACTATACCCCTAATAGCATCAGGTTCGCTTGGATTCTTATGTTGCTGCGTTGCTGAATGACACTTTGATGAGAACCCTCTGGACGGTATGACACTTTGATGAGAACCCTGCAGAGGGAAAGTGTCATTTCACTTCCTTTTATCTGGTGTATCTTTCGCGGAAAATCTTTTCTTCTCTTCTTTATAGTATGAATGAAACATAGGCAGAGCTCCTACCAAAATTGCTTTTGGCCCCGGAGCTCGAGTGATCCCGACACGACATAATCCATCTTACGTATCGGATGGTTCCTACAGTTTATTTTTGGAGGATTCAAAATACATTTTGGAGAGACGGGGGTGATCCAAAGTTCAAAATGTTTTGAGAGAAAAATACAATCGTAATTTTTTAGAAAATAAAATTCAGGTATAATTTTTTAGAATCAAAATCCAAGCCTAAAATCCTATGAGGGAAAAAAAAATCCAAGTCTTCTTCCTAATCTTAAAAATCCTGGCCTAATTTTTTAGTACACCCTCTGTTCCCTAATACAGGACATTTTGCCAGTTTAAATTGAACTGCCAAAACGTCCTACATTACTGAACAGATAGAAGATTATGCTGTGAATACATAAAAAAAGGTTCACCAGATAAAAGAAAGTGAAATAAATCTGGACTGTATAGATCCTAGGTAAAACTGAAAACTACATCCACATCATTCGAAGTTGTAGTCTCAATCTTCGTTTTTTCTTGTTTGCATGTCAGCAGTCGATGACGGTTCTAGGGAAGAAAGTAGAAAAACCAGAAGCTTCCAACCCAGAAGAAAATAAAAATCACTTGTCACCCTTTAATTTTTGGGACACAGCCCATTTTCATGTTGGACCGCAACACCCCATGAGGCCACGGCCTTCTTTGGCGAGGGAGAGAGGGGTTCCCATCTCAAGAAAAAAAATGTCTCAAAAAAATCTCAAGGAAAAAAAACACTCAAAAAAATATCTCAATAAAAAAAAGGAGAGAGAGGTTTCTGAAAGCGGCGGCGAAGGGGAAGCGAGTCAACGCCCGCCAGAGAAGAGAAGACGTCGGCGCCGCCCACCGAACGATCGTCTCCACGTCGCCCGTCAGAGGTCTCTCTCTCTCCCTGGTTTCTCATGTTTACTTTGGCCATCTTCGTCGTGCAAATCGTTGCTATTTCGGTAATCTTGATTCATAGATTAGGAACACGTTGCTACTTCGGTAATCTTGATTGATTCATTTGATCCCCACTTGCTTTTTTGTTGTAAGAGATTTGGATGCGCTACCAAGTCTTAGAGTATAAGTCTATTCGTATTGTGATCTATCTCTATTAGTCTAGTCTTGAAGCCCAAGCTTTGTAATCTATATAAACAGCCTTTGAGACCCCAATCAATACAACAATTATTTCTTCAATATCTCAATCTATCATGGTATCCGATGCCTAGGTTTTTCGCACCTGCTATGGCTCCGCCACCCGCGCCGCCGCCCCGGCCGATTCGGCCCCTCTTCTCCATGGCCGAGTTCCGCGCCACCGGTGCCCCATCCCCTACCTCCTCCTCTACAACTACCCAAACACCTCCCCCTCCAAACCCTATGTTATCCCTAGCCGACACCATTGCCGACGTCTCTCCCTTCATACCAATCTCATTAGACCTCGGCATCCACAACTACTACCATTGGCGCCACCTCTTCATCATCCATCTCGGGCGCTGTGGCCTACGCCACCACATTGATCCCTCCTACCCGCCACAGCCCGCTGATCCTCGCTGGGTGAAAGATGATCTCGCCATCATCCAGTGGATTTACACACGCATCTCCACGGAGCTTTTCAATCTGGTCTCCGACGATGACGCCACCGCCGCCGATCTCTGGGCTTCCCTTCAACAGCTGTTTCAAGACAACTCTGACGCGCGAATCAACGCGCTCAACACCGAGCTACGTACAACCATGCAGGGAGATGTCCCAGTCTCCATCTTCTGCCAGCGAATCAAGGCTATTGGCGATGAACTCCGTGAACTTGGCGATCACGTTGAGGATCGCACTCTCATCAACGCCCTCCTCCAAGGTTTCGGCGATCAATTCGAGAAGCAGCAGTCCTTCATCCCCATGCTCAAGCCGTACCCCACCTTCAAGGAGGTCCGCTCGATCCTCCAGCAAGAAGAGAAGAACCAGGCTCGCAAGGCGCAACGGGCGCCGCAGGTGTTTCATGCTGTCGCGCCCTCTTCTGCAGCTCACACGTCTGGGCTGCCGCGTCAACCGACCGCCTCACCAACTCCTGCTGTGGCCGCCGCGGCCTCAACACCACCACCAGGCTGGCGCCCGAGCCCCAACTACAAGGGCAAGAATCCCGTCTACCGGCCTCCTGCATCTCGCCCTGCCGGACCTGCACTAGCCTCGTCATCCACCGCTCCCACGCCACCAGCTCCGTTGCCATGGCCTCCTCAACA